GCCATCGGGACTCGCGTTGTCCCTGCTGCAGGCGAGGCCGCAGCGGCCCCCAGGCCTGACAGACTCCCACCTTCCCCCTCCCCTGTCCATAAGCTGCCCGGTCGCTGGGTCTCGGAAACGCATTAAACCTTGAAATAAATCCCGGGCCCTCGTAGAGGGGTGTGGGGCGCGCGGGTCGGGGGCTGAGCTGCATCGTCCCGGTGGTTTAGCCAGGGCTGAAGGGTGCGGAGCACGGGCAGGGCCTGCTGCTGCAGCGGGCTGGCACCCAGGGGCACTAATAAGCTGCTTCTGTCACGTCGCAGGGCTCGGGATGGACTTTCTGATGCTCTTCTTGATTTACTCCTGTTTTGTGCTCGCTACTGTTGCTCTGCTCTGCATCTGCTGGGGGAGGAAGGAGAGTTTCCTCACAAGAAGCATCAACGGTGCAAGCCAGGTAAAGAACTGAGCTTTCAGAGCTATAATCAGCTCCCGTTCTGGTGGCCTGCCCTGGTTCGTTGTGCTAAAATTAGTGTAACCGCTGTATTTCTCCTTTCTAAAAAAAAATGGTTATAGCGATGGTATGGTATACTTCATATTTCATCCAATTTTGGCAACTGCGCTCAGGTAAGGGCTAATTAGGATTGGAAATAGATAAAGATAAGTCCTGTTCGCTGATGAGATCCTGCCCAAGCAGGCAGTGAAAAAGCATTTGTGTCTTACAGCTCCTGTTCCTGCACGTGCCAGTCTGGCCGCCTGTAGCCACTGCAGGGTAGTAGTAAAGGATGGAACTTTCTCGCCATGCTGAAAGTACCTTGTTCAGTGACACCCTAACACATCAGCTCTGAGAAATTAGATAATAATGAGGCCCTGGCTATTTGCAGTTTTAGGGTATTTGCTGCTATGTCATTAAGAAGAAGAAGGCGGGGGGAGGTTTAAGAATTAAAATAGGGAGAGAATTGTAACACGTAGCACATCTTTGGGGGGAAGCTCTTTAAGGTGAGCCTGTAATAATATTGCAGGCTGTTGTTTTCCTGAGAAAGAGAGAGGAATGAAGAGCTTTAAAAGAGGATTAAGAATTGGCATTTTACTGTAAACACAGGTAATTAATTGAAAAGGCACTAGCTTATTTTTCTGTCTGTTGGGCTGTGTCTGAATGAAGAAGGAAAAAAAAAAGGTGTAGCATTCTTGGAAGAGAAAGGATAAGAGAATTATCGTTTAAATTGTAAATGAGTCTAAACAGACTTTGATTTTTATTACTAGCATTGTACTTTTTATTTTGCTTTATAGACACACAGATCACTGTGCAGAGAAATTAATTCTTTTCCCACATTTCTTAAGAGCCGCTTCCGTGAAATGTGTGTAACGATCCGCAATTAAACTGCTGTGATGTAAAGTCACTGTCTGGAGAAATGTAATCAATACTTGTACACATGAAATAAATATAGGTATTCTTAAATAGTTTCTCTAAATGTTGTATTTTAAATTCCCTGCTGACTGTAATTAATTAAGCGTATAAGCCTGGAAGTTTGTTGAAATTGTTTGACTGCACTCCTTTAAAGTATTCATTGTGAGCAATGTGAAATAATTAACTTGCACACAGCACAGCTGCTTCCAGCTCCCTGACAAGTCAGCTTCCACCCCTCAGCCTGTTTCCCTTGCCGCCAGTGGTTCGGCTCTGCGAGGTGGTGTAGCATTGTAGAGGTCTTCTCGTGTCACCGCTGCAAGCACAAAGGGTATTTGTAAGAGCCTCATGCTTTGGTGTAGGAAATGGCTGAAATGCAGGGGCCTGCCATACCATATGGGGGGGAAAAATGGGTATTGAATGTAATTTTAGACTGTGCTAACGCATACAGTTAATTTAAGTTTGAATTTTGCAATTGCTTTTCTGTCTACTTCTGTGTTTCCTTTTGCAGTACACAGCCTCTTTTCAAAAAAAGACTTGTCACTTGAACTGCTGATATGAGGCATACCAGTTAAAACAAAAATATTTAACATCTTCTCAACTCTACATATGCTTTTCGCCTTCTGGTCTTTCACATCTGAGACAAGAAGCTCTCACTGCATGTTTTCTTTCCATGTCACCTAGAAATAGGCTCAGCTGCTCTAATTCCTCCACCACCGATGGAGCAGCGTGTTGCTATAGAGATCTGTCATCTTCTGAACAGCAGAGTCAAACAATTCCGCAGTCGTGGACTCTTGCTGAGGGCTTTGCTGAATGAAGACAGGCAGTTTTCTTCTTCATTCAACCTGCTGGTTTTGAAATGGCAATTAGATAGACATGGAATTAATCAGACTGGGTCATAGCGGTAGTTGAAGAAACCATGGATTTTTTGGTTTTGGTGGGGTTTGTTTGTATTTTTGGTTGGGGTTTTTTTTCCCTCCCTTTTTCTGGAGGATAGCAGGCTTTATCCCTTTGCTTATCTCTGCTTACATCTGTCAGATGTCCTGATGAAACATATTGTAGTTCAGAAATTGCTCAGTTCTATCCCCTGCTTAGCCAGTTACCCAGTCTATAACTTGATATAAGCTCCTTATAACTTTCACACATTAACCCAGATAACATTTGTTTGTGCCTTCTGGGCTTCCAAGAATATGGAACCTCACTCCCATTTTGAAGACCCCAGCAACATGCTTGTCTATATTCTTAGGAGCTCAGATGCCCCTGAAAATGAGCTTCCTCCCCAGTGCTAGGGCTACAGTGGTATATAACTGAGGGACGGGGTGATCTATGGTTTTGTTTGAATGTTCCACAAGGCAGAAGTGATGTGCAATTCGGATAACGCAGGGTTTTCGTTTGCTTCAGGTGCTGTCATTTGTAATCCCCACACCGTTCCAGAGGGTGACGCAGAGGGTGCTTCACAGGCTCTTCCACACAAGGTATTGCGCTTTTCTTTTTTTATGCTTTTGATGTTATTTTTAACTCATATTTCTGGCCAATGTAGGTGACCTCCTGCCACCATCAGAGTATTATCCTTAGCTATTCTCTCCTCATTAGGGGTGCTTTCTGGGATCACAGATTCCCTCTAAGGTTTGCCACAGTGTCATCTTTCTGTTCCTTGCTTGTTGTTGGGAAGATGGTACCCTGAAATATCTGAACATACTGACAAATAAAGATAATGTGGCTCAGTAGCTTCCAGCGTAACAGATGTTGGTCATGCTGGTGGGAGACTGCGTCCATGAGAGAATTACAACAGACTCGTTGGCAGCTGCGGAATGAGTTTAGACAGAGCTAGCGATCCCCGTCCTCGCCCTCAAATCTCATTAGTCTTAGTCCAGCAGCTTGGATGTCCAGGTGGCTCAGGGGGAAGCTGCACAGCTGCTTATTAAAGTGAATGTTGTAGAGTCCTGTAAACTTTAGTGCTTTAGAACCTGCTTCAGGAATTATTTAAATACCTTTCCTCTGGGGGCGGCAACTCCAGTGTGACAGACACTTCAGGGGCATAACATCTATGGCTGTTGAATGGGCGCCGCGGTTTTGTTGCCTTGCTGTGCAGATTCTCTGCTGTTAACGCAGCCCAAGAGAGAGTGGTTACACTAGCAAATGTGCAGTCAGCAGCAGAGCAATTATCTGATGAGCCTGGGGTAGTTGTCATTGCTAGATTACACTGTGCGCTGGAGGCACTTTGATGTTCCATGCACACCCTTCCACCGTGTCGCCTCATTCAGGCGAGAGATTTTTCAGTTCATGCAGAAGTCCAGTGAGGTGCAGCACTTGAGGGTGTCTTCCTGTAGCCCTGCAGTTGAGAGGAGACTGCAGGATCCTGCTGGATGGCACACAGAAACGGTGTAGGAGAGAGCAGTAGAGGAGGGCTTGTCCTCAACGGACTTCCCACCGTAGTAAAATGCACATCGCTAGTTATTTAAAACTCGTAATAAAAGTCCAGGAATCTGGTGTATGATGCAGAGAGCTGTAGTAAGTGAACATTGCTCTCCTAATGCCTGGCTTATCTGAGCATCTATTTGCCAGGCTGCTGAAAGCTGTTGCTCGGTATGATGCAGCCCAAACAAACTCGCCTGCCAAACAGTTGTGCAGTTTGCCTCGCAGAGGCTGTAGTCTGCTGGCAGGTTGGGACTTGTGTTCGCCATTGCTAACCTCCTGCCATGCGTATTTCATAACGGCTGCTTATGTCATTGCAGGTTTTTTTAAGATTACCTTTTGCTGGGGTTTTCTTTGCTTTCAGAGCAGTACACAGCAAATGTCTTCCGGCAAAACGTTTTGTGGCCTGCTGCTGTGGCCTGTTGTTGTCAGCACCAAGGGTGTTTTGTACTTGACTCTACTATTGGAAAGAAATATCCAAAGAACAGAAGTGAATTTAGCTGGTAAATTTAAAGGAGTGTATATGGGAAGAAGAGAAGGAGAAGCCATAAATATGCAATCCATGCTGGCCTGAAAACCTGAAAGAGGTGTCTCCTTGCCTTTGGAAAGTCTTTGCTGATCACCTCTGAGTGTACTTGACCTGTTAATCAGGATGCTGAGTATTAAATAGACTGTCCCCTTTCTGTTACAGAAGCTGTTTGTTTGTCGTCCTGCACATAGCCTTGCAAGCTGCAGTGTATGGGGAATACACGTGGGAAGTGTTTGTTTACTGCTGGGAGCTGCAGTTCCACCTCCTCCTCCTGCTGCTGCCCTACCTGCTGCTGGCTGGGAACATGGGCAGCTTCATTCTCTGCTCCCGAGCTAATCCTGGTAAGCTCATGCTCGTTGTGAGCTGTAGCTGGCTGAAAACAAAACCTAAAAAATCATAGAATCACAGAATCATTGAGGTTGGAAAAGCCCTTTGAGATCACCAAGCCCAACCGTTCCCCTAACCCTGCCATCCCACCACTAAACCCT